TTGTCCTAGCATATCGAAATCGTGTTTTCGCGTCGGCACTCCCCAGGAAATTTAGCAGACGGTGGTGGAAAGGCTTTGGCAAGTTAATAAAGTCCAAAGGAGCACGAACTTGTGGTCTCAAAACACGTCTGCTTGGGGTATGTAATCTTCTTACGATGTATCTCCCTTCACCGGCATATTGACCAGGGGCTTTGTAATAGATTCGAATTCTTTGCCCATCGTCTCTGACGTGCTCCTCATCATGTGCATATCCACCTTTTTGCGCGAATATTTGAATCTTATCAATTTCTCGACTCCCGGACTTCCATTGCTTCACTAGAGTCTTTATAAACGCTTGAATTTCTACGTATAACCTTCGTTCAGATACCACAATGAAAAAGCTGGAAGAATTTCGTAACGTTTCCCATTTCAAGCCGCAAGTTATGGTAGGTGACGATAGCCGGGCAATTTTCGAGCAATATTCCTGCAGATTTGCCTTGCCCCTTTGAAAGTATATGGCCTGATACCATCGTGATGGTGGCATGACCTTCTCTAAAACCTCGATTTCCACTTCTCCACTGTCGAATTGGCGTGGAGAAATCAGCTTATGCGCCTTCATACCGTCCGGGATTTTTAAGGGATTTCCTGGCTGGAGAATAAGCTTGCATACGATGGCTCCGGAAAAGAGTAAGTCTCGAGTTTTAGGGCTATAGAAACGTTTCCGGGGCGAGAGGGCCGATTAGGGTATCTGGTCCGATTTCCGTCAAACTCAACTTCCAACTCCATTCTATTATCTTCTGATTCCTCCGTCATTTTCCAAAGTTCGCGACTTACGCATGCGTATCGGAATCGTGTCTTTGGATCCGCGCTGCCCAAAAAGTTGAGAAGACGACGGTGGAAGGCTGGAGGAAGATCGAGGAAATCGGTTGATGTGGAGGGATTCATCTGAAATTAGCATATTGTGAGAGAGAGAGATGCGAGAGAGAGAGAGAGAGGGAGAGAGAGAGAGTTTAAGTTAGTAGAAGGAGAGAGAGAGAGAGAGAGAGAGAGAAGAGAGAGAGAAAGAGAAAGAGAAAGAGATATCGTATGACCTTCAAGTTCCAGACTATTCAAATTAACAAGAGCAAAACAATTAGCGAATGTTTGCACTGGAACCGTACTAATACCTTCAACCTGGCAGGATTATTTTGACAGACACTCCTTAAGTTAAAGGTTTAAAAAATATACATAAAACCTGGAGAACAGCCGCTTTTGGATTGTTCGTATTCAGGATAACCCGCCGTAAGGGAGATCGAGAGAGTGCCGGGAGAGGGTAGAGGCACCGAGAAACGCGAACTACGCCACGGTATGACTCAGACAAACCGCCAGATAGCACTAAGGCCAAAGGACGTTGCATTTTCAGTGATGGAATGCTAAAAGTTAGCTAGGGAAGCGAAATTTAGGTTCGCAGCAGCGAATGGCCGGTTTTCCACTGACAATGAGATCGGACTGTTTAGAATGCTTCTGAAACAAGACCACATTTTTTTAAATTCTGGAATTTAAAAAATATCAAATCAAGAAATGAAACGCTTCAAAACAGCATCAGAAAAAAAGATGACTCGCCCAAGTGAATCTGTTCGGACGCTGATAACGACCGGCTGACGACGGCGTCATTCTTTCTCTACAAAAAATTAATGGGGAGGAGCCCACATTGCATTTTCTAGAACTTGAACAATAAAGATAGATAAGCCAGGACAATTTGCTTGCAATGATTTTTCCAAAAGATTCGCGCTGCTTCAAATGATTGAATTTGGTCTTGGCAATCGTTATAAGTAATGTTTATACTATTATTAATCTTGTATTATTAAGCAAATTAAGCAGAGCTACAATTTTTTAAAAAACACTTTATGGCTCGTACTAACCTTCAGGCAGTTCGAGAGAGTAGATGTTTCGATTAAATAAGCTTGATCAATCCAGTGAGGCTCGGGTATCACAAATCAAATTCGAATCCGTTGTCCATCATCTCGAACATGTTCGCCCAATCGAGCATGACCCGGGGGAGCATAAAGCCGTACCTACACGATTTCTCTAAGCCTCGCCTTCCACTCGCCCACAATGGCGTCGATAAATGCTTGTATTCCTTCGGGTGGCCAGTAGTAGGCGCTGAGCAAGAGCTCAGGGCATTTCAACTGGAGACTGAGCTCCGGAGTCGAGAAAGTGGTGCGCTCAAGTGCATTTGCATTATCGTTTATATAGTGTATTATACGAGGAGTAATGGAATCATCCCGGCTAATCACTACGCGTTGATACTTCCGGTTTTTGGGCTTTAACTTGATAAGCAGCTGCAACTTGGCTTCATCATCCTCTGCTTCTAGGCTTAAATGAAGCCTTTCTGCCGCCATGCGATCTGGCAGCTTCTCGTTTTCCCATGCTTCCAGGGTGGCTTCAGATACTGAAGTCCCGGAAAGCAGCAAATTTCGGGTAGCTCGACTCGTGAATGATCCAATTCTGTTGTCGCGACCGTTGCATAACTTGGTCCTAGCGCCGTCGAACTCGACCTGGTAATCGCTTCGATTATCCCTGGATTCGGCAGTCATTTTCCACAAGACACGGCTTGAACCTGCGTACCGGAACGGTGTCTTCCAGTCGGCACTCCCCAAAAAGTTGAGAAGACGTCGGTGGAACGTCGTCGGCAAATCGATGAAATCCGGAGACACACCATCTGAAATGCAAATTTTTTTATACTGTAAAATGGGCGACATTCACAAATAAAACAAAGACAGAAATTTAAGCTAGCTTCAAATTTTAAGTAGCCGACGGGTTGCAGAAGTAGCTTTTTAGAAAGGCTCTCTTGAGGTATGGGCAATCAGAGGGAAAGAGAGACAGAAAGGCAGCGAGAGAGAGCGAGAGAGAAGGGAGAGAGAGCGAGAGAGAGAAAGAAGATAAAGAGAGAGAAAGAGCGAGTGAGGCGAGAGAGAGAACAAGAGCGAGTTAGTGAGCGCGTGAGCACGAGAGAGCAAGTGAACGAGAGACAGAGAGAGAGAGAGAGAGAGAGAGAGATAGAGAGAGAGAGAGAGTGGGAGAGTGACAGAAAGGCACAAATAGAAAACCCTGAAAGCGTGAGAGATAGAGATAGAGAGTTTGAGCGAGACTACGAGAAAGCCAGGAAGTGAGAGAGAGGGAGAGCGCAAGAGTGCTAGAGAGAAACAGAGAAAAATGTAGCAAAAAAATGGAGATAGAGATTTTGGATTAGAAAGCAGCTGACCTCACAATCTATCCGTTACTTTCTGAATAACATAGCAATAATTCCGATAAGCACGTGCGGTCTGATAGTACACTTCAATCCATCGTCCATCTCCCGCACGATAATATTTCTTCCTCTCCGTATTATCGAATGCCAAACAGTACACCTTGATGTTCTCAATTTCACGGCTCCCTGATTCCCATTGCTCCACAAGGCGGGCGATGAATATTTGAATCTCCTCAAGTTCCTCGCACTCCGCATTCAACTCAAATTTCGGGCATTTGAGCTCGAGGCACAATTGCAGGTCGCAAAAATCGGGGTAGATTAATGAATGTATATTTTCATTTGCATATTGGATAAATTGAAGTGATAGCGGCGGGTTATTAGGATAAGTATCTAACGACACATGATGATACTTTCCACTTTTCGGCTTCATCTTCTCTAGTAAAGCTATAGCGTCGGTATTTCCCGTATAGTCCATCAGTGTTAATTCCAATACTTGCATACCATCTGGGATCGGTTGTTTTGAGTAGAAGATCTCAGCCTCCCGGACCGTGGTCCTGCCAAGAAGTAGTTTTTGGGTGATAGGACTAGCGAAGAAGGCAATACGATTCCCATCTTCATCAAAAGTCACGGTGAGTCCGTTTGGATGGATAGCAACTTTAAAATCCATAAAATTGTCCCGGGACTCCTCAGTCATTTTCCAGAGCAATCGACTGGCGCGTGCGTACCGGAATCGGGTCTTTGGATCTGCACTGCCGATAAATTTGAGAAGACGTCGGTGGAAAGGGGTTGGTAGATCGAGGAAATCCATTTTTGAGCCTGAAGTTTGGAATTTGAAAATGGTTACCAGATGTGACCAAGAAAGCAAAGGTCACGCGAGCAGAATAAAGATAAAAATTTTTAGTGGAGAGGCCAAGCCTAAGCCAGGCCTTAGTTAAGCCTGAGCTAAGCCCAAGCTAAGCCCAAGCTAAGCCCAAGCTAAGCCCAAGCTAAGCCCAAGCCAAGCCGAAGCTAAGCCCAAGCTAAGCCCAAGCTAAGCCCAAGCTAAGCGTAAGACAAGCTTGAGCTAAGCCTAAACTAAGCCTAAGCCAAGCATAAGCTAAGCCTAAACCAAGCCAAACCCCAAATTCTAAAGACAAATTCTGGTTGCTAAGCCGGGAAAAGCTTCCTGCAGCCCGCTAGCAGAAGAAATCGATAGTCAGCGCGGAAACGAAAAAGCACACTTCCTGCTTATCGCACTCTTCGTATGGCCCAAAACCATACGGTTTTTTTCATGAAATTTATCTTACGGGTTGAAAACGACAGGATTGTTTGTCTCATAATTGGCAGTTTTCTGAGCTGTAAAACCATTGACGTATTTTTTAATAAAATTTTTTTCATAACAAGGGCCAATTAAATGTGAAACACCTATTTTTTTTATTTCAATCAAGTTTATTTTTTCAAAATTCTTCGCCTGTGGCGCTGGTTTGTCATTAGTGCATCAATCATCATACTTGCAGATTTTTCACGTTTAAGAATATTAAAAAATTAGCTTAGAAACAATGGCTCAAATTATATCAGAAAAATGGCATCCCATGAAAAGTGTTGGTGATCCTCCGCCCGATAATGTGAAAAAACCTTCTCATGATTGCAGTTTTCTGGATCTTTAAGGCGATTGACCGTGTTTAGAAAAATTTATTCATAGCAAGGTTCAAATAAAACGTGAAAGACTGAGGTATATTGTTTCATGGGTTTGTCGATGACCAAAATTAGCGAACAATCTTGAGCAGAAAATATTCGCCAAATTGCCAATCTACACGTAGTCTCGTACCATCTGACCGGACATATTCTCCAATCCCCGGGTATCCGGGCCACCAGAAATTCGAATTTCCTTGATTTCTCTTTCTCCGTCCATCCATTGTGCCAACATGGCATCCATGAACCTCGGCACTTTGTAAAATTCCTGCCTCGATACATCCATTCGGAAATTCGCGCCCTTGAATGCCAGATACATCTCTTGATCCAGATTCGTCCCCATCATCATCACGTCCACATTCGTGCTCGCATACTCCAAAAAATCGATGGGTGGAGCTGGCGCAAGATATCCCCAAAAATTCAGGGAGTCGTACTTTTGACCTGGAGGCTTCATAGATTGAAGCCAGGGTAAATCAATGGGGTACCTCCCGTCATAACTAGCCCTTATACTGAGGTTCCAGGCCCTCAAACCGACCGGAAATGGATTGACTGGAGGGTCCTGGATGACGAGTCTCTCTACCGTAAGCCCGGAGAGCAGGAGAGCTTGTGTTCGGGCGTTTTTTGTCAAAAATCCGTTGAAGAGATTCCCATGGATCTCGACGACATCTCGCATAAATCGGACCTCGTATTTGGACTTGTTTTCGGTGGATTCTTCCGTCATCCGCCAGAGGAAGCGACAGGTACGCGCGTAGCGAAATCGCGTCGACGGGTTAGCACTGCCAACGTATCGGAGGATATGTTGATGAACGTCGACGGGCAAACCGATGAAGTCCATGGCGTTTTCTGAAAATGCGAAAATTAATTTGGTTTGGTTTTATATTTCGAGCCGGCGAAAAACGGTCCCGCGAGGGGTTAGCTTCGAACAACCTCCGTATCTTTTACGCAAGCAACAACAAATATTCTAATAGTTTTTAATAATAATTTTCTTGACGCGTCTGTCCGTCTGTGTGTCTGAAGCCGAATTCAACTCGAAGGGGAAAGGAGCTAGAGCTTAGCTCTCTTCGGATTCGGATAGAGCGCCGTCAGAAACCCCCAAACTGATAAAAAAAATTATGAAAAAGTTTTAGTTTAAATTAATAAAATTAACTTTGAAAGTTTTTTCCTTAGTACAAGGGGTGGGGACGGAGGTTGGGGTGATTTTCGACATAGTGAGCCAGGTGGCGCGCGTTTCGTGGATGAAAATTTTCACGGGGATTTCATTTCTTCTTTTTCTCTCATTCCATCCGGTCGGTCGTTATTTTTGTTTTTTGAAGGGGATTTCAGCCATGGGGGTATCTGAAGCCATCAGTAAGGTATTTAGGTAGTTTTTGAAGGGGATTTCAGCCATGGGGGGTATCTGAAGCCATCAGTAAGGTATTTAGGTAGTTTCGAAGGGATTTCAGCCATGGGGGTATCTGAAGCCATCAGTAAGGTATTTAGGTAAGTTTTTGAAGGGGATTTCAGCCATGGGGGGTATCTGAAGCCATCAGTAAGGTATTTAGGTAGTTTTTGAAGGGGATTTCAGCCATGGGGGGTATCTGAAGCCATCAGTAAGGTATTTAGGTAGTTTTTGAAGGGATTTCAGCCATGGGGGTATCTGAAGCCATCAGTAAGGTATTTAGGTAGTTTTTGAAGGATTTCAGCCATAGGGGTATCTGAAGCCATCAGTAAGGTATTTAGGGTAGTTTTTGAAGGGATTTCAGCCATCGGGGGTATCTGAAGCCATCAGTAAGGTATTTAGGTAGTTTTTGAAGGGGATTTCAGCCATCGGGGGTATCTGAAGCCATCAGTAAGGTATTTAGGTAGTTTTTGAAGGGGATTTCAGCCATGGGGGTATCTGGAAGCCATCAGTAAGGTATTTAGGTAGTTTTTGAAGGGATTTCAGCCATGGGGGGTATCTGAAGCCATCAGTAAGGTATTTAGGTAGTTTTTTGAAGGGGATTTCAGCCATGGGGGTATCTGAAGCCATCAGTAAGGTATTTAGGTAGTTTTTGAAGGGGATTTCCAGCCATGGGGGTATCTGAAGCCATCAGTAAGGTATTTAGGTAGTTTTTGAAGGATTTCAGCCATGGGGGTATCTGAAGCCATCAGTAAGGTATTTAGGTAGTTTTTGAAGGGGATTTCAGCCATGGGGGTATCTGAAGCCATCAGTAAGGTATTTAGGTAGTTTTTGAAGGGATTTCAGCCATGGGGGTATCTGAAGCCATCAGTAAGGTATTTAGGTAGTTTTTGAAGGGGATTTCAGCCATGGGGGGTATCTGAAGCCATCAGTAAGGTATTTAGGTAGTTTTTGAAGGGGATTTCAGCCATCGGGGGTATCTAAGCCATCAGTAAGGTATTTAGGTAGTTTTTGAAGGGATTCCAGCCATCGGGGTATCTGAAGCCATCAGTCAGGTATTTAGGTAGTTTTTTGAAGGGGATTTCAGCCATGGGGGTATCTGAAGCCATCAGTAAGGTATTTAGGTAGTTTTTGAAGGGGATTTCAGCCATCGGGGTATCTGAAGCCATCAGTCAGGTATTTAGGTAGTTTTTGAAGGGGATTTCAGCCATCGGGGGTATCTGAAGCCATCAGTAAGGTATTTAGGTAGTTTTTGAAGGGGATTTCAGCCATCGGGGTATCTGAAGCCATCAGTCAGGTATTTAGGTAGTTTTTGAAGGGGATTTCAGCCATGGGGGTATCTAAAGCCATCAGTAAGGTATTTAGGTAGTTTTTTGAAGGGATTTCAGCCATGGGGGTATCTGGAAGCCATCAGTAAGGTATTTAGGTAGTTTTTGAAGGGGATTTCAGCCATGGGGGTTATCTGAAGCCATCAGTAAGGTATTTAGGTAGTTTTTGAAGGGGATTTCAGCCATGGGGGTTATCTGAAGCCATCAGTAAGGTATTTAGGTAGTTTTTTGAAGGGGATTTCAGCCATGGGGTTATCTGAAGCCATCAGTAAGGTATTTAGGTAGTTTTTGAAGGGGATTTCAGCCATGGGGGTATCTGAAGCCATCAAGAAGGTATTTAGGTAGTTTTTGAAGGGGATTTCAGCCATGGGGGGTATCTGAAGCCATCAGTAAGGTATTTAGGTAGTTTTTGAACGGGATTTCGACTATGGGGGGGGGTATTGATGGAGGAGGCAAAGGATGTGGTGGAGTGAGACATGTAGGGTAGCCCGAAGGCCAGATGGTTGCAGTCGCGAAGCGACTGTAACCATCTGGTATTCTAATAGTTTTATGAAACCTCAAAATATTGTTATCTCGGAAAGTTGTAAGAAAAAAGTAAAATAGATTTTGCAAATGGGCTTGAAGCAGATCTTTGAAAATTTTGAAAAATTTGTTTTTCTATGAAATTTGGGACAACGTGCGATAGAGCATTAAAAATATATTACGTCTTAATTTCATCGCGAAATCGTTTAATATAAAATTTATAACAAAAATCAGCAGAATTTTCTAACGAGTCCAGATTTTTAAAGATTGATTAAACGTTCCTGGAAATTGAACAGTACCACTAATTTGAGTAGTTTGAGGCGTAAGCACACGAGATAATATATTTTACACCAGTTATTCTAACTTTGAAAATTCGGGTTTAACCGCAGCTTCAAACAATAAGTTACATAAATGATTATACACTGTATTTATGGCTTAACAAGGATTCGGAATCAACTAAATGCAATTTTTTTTATTGATTCAAACGAAAAAGATAGATTTATATGCTTTTTGGCTCAGAAAAATGAAAGGTAAATTGAATGAAAAAGCGTTAATAAATTGAATGAATTCAAGCTAAAAAAAGCCTTTTTTGGAAAGCGTCGTACGGTTGTCAAATCCATTTCCTACCAATGCAACCTGGGCGCATCATTTCATCGCGTAATGCGACCCCGTTTTGGCGGCAAACCAAAACATCTGGAAAGCAAGAGTTGTGCAATTTCTGTTATTATGTGTAATTTCGAGGCGCCGTCCATAGCCATAAAATTTATCTCAGTAAGAAGTGATAAAAAGTAATTATACAAAGCATAGTCAAATCGAGTCGCGTTTTCGTTTCAGCGTGATCGGCTTATCGGCAACAATCAATCTGTCTATCGTGTCCCTGGCGCATTCCAGGAGTTCTTCCGTCGGGTAGATTTTGTAGAAAAAGCTGACGGTCTGATATCGTTCATTCCGAGGCTTCATCGACTCAAGTAGCGCTATTTTAGTAGCATCGCGTCCAATAATCGACGTCATTCCGAATGTCCAAATCGGGACGGTGATTCGTACGTCTAGAGAAAGGGCTCTCAGCCTGGGAATGACCCCAGCGATCAGTGGACCAACAATTTTGACGCAGGATACGGTGGTTCCGGAAAGCAGCAACACTTGAACACGCCAATTTTTGATGAGTATAAAGTTGCCAGGATTCATGTAGATGGCTGCAAAACCATGGTATAGCTTGACGGTATAATCGGTTCGATTGTCGTCCGACCTCTCGGTCATCTGCCAAAGAAACTGACAAGTGCGCGCGTAACGGAATCGCGTTTTTGGGTCAGCACTGCCAATGTAGCTGAATATCCTTTCGTGGATGGTGGTCGGCAGACGGACCAGATCCATGGCTGCGATTCTTGGAGGTCGTACCTGAAAAGGAAGTTGTAAAACTCCCGGTTTAATTGCGATTTGTGAAAGGACGTAGAACTGAGGTAGAGAGGCAGAAAAGGGTCAAATAAGAGACACTCCGGTTGAACGTGCAAACTGCTAGTGCTAGTGAATGTCACTGCTAACGGCCGGGAACCAATTGCTTCCTGCTCATTTTGTCCCATCGACCAAGCTAAAACCAACCAAAAATTATCTCGGTAAAAATGATAATATGGGGGCTAACCACGAAAGCAGGGTAAAGTGTCGGGGAGGGCCGGGGACTGGCAGAACCCATCACGGGCCCTCGGGGGTCAGTGCCACCGTAGCGCCTTCTCATCTTCCTCTTGCACTCTCATGATATTTCCTCCTTTTCTCTGGATCTCTCTTACTAGGGAACCCCCGAATAAATTCCGACTCAGAATTGGATCACGATTTGCACACCGCGCACACACACCACGCTGATCATCGCCTCGTTTTTCGAAAGTGCTACTAATCGTTAAAACTCGGTATATTTATGTTTTAGTGTCAATTTTCGCCCCCCGAGAAGTTTTTTGCCATGATGCCGTTCTTTTTATTTTGAAGTTCTAATTGATTTTAAGTTACTATCTGATAGAAAATTTTTTGTCTGATTTGCTTGGTATCTTTTATTCAGCTAGGCTTCATCTAGACAGTGTCTTCCTTTCATCTTTTACTTCTCATATATTACTTCTCTTTCTTTATTAGAACTGCTTGAAGTGGGCTGCGGCAAAATAATCGAAGTCGAATTTAGACGATTTTAACTAAAGGATCACTTTAAAAGTGACATATATCGAGCATTGAAGATCGGTATCAAAT